AAACATGCCTTAGCTAGAGGTTCCACAAATAATATATTCACATTAAATCGCTTGGCGGAAGCCATCGTGATGCAAAAACTGTAGACAATCCTGCAGAGATTCTCCCACTCTGTTGTCAAATGTTTGCATTTAGCTTCTTTTAAACTATCAAATAACTCCAGTGTGTTGATGAAAAGTTTTTGTAGGGCTTTGTAAATATCTGATATTATTGTAGATTCGTCTTTTACCAGACTAAGCACACGGGTTGCATACTCAAACGCATCTCTTTGTATACTTATGGCACCGATGATATTTTTTCGTATTGAACAGCAGCATTTTATCAATAAATCTCCGCGTTTTAAAATAATTGCTTGTGATTTCGCGTGGGAGATATACGCATGTAGAGAAGCATTTAATGCTTTTGTGTATATAATTGGTTTTACTTTTTTTATCAACTGTCTATCCGCCATTTTGATTCTGCTTTGAATATGCGACGCGAATGAAACAACGTCTTCTAAATAAGTTCCTGATGCATTTTTATGAGCGCGATTTATCGTCGTGATTGGTTCAGAAAACAACTGTGGATCGTCAAATTTGATTGAATCCACAGTGGTAAACAGCGTGGTTGTTGCTAAGAAGTAATCCATGACATCTTGCAAGTCATCTTTTTTCTTTGCATAGATTTTAAGCTTATTTATACATGATTTTAACTCCGTGCAAGAAATAATTTCATGTGTATCAGATATAAAAAATTTCGTTAAAAGTGACAGAAGTAGTTTAAAATTGGTTTTTGTGAAAATATTGCAGTTGTTTCTTATGATTGTATCAATAGCCAATGTGCCTATCTTCAATCTGATGCTTTGTGTTGGTATAGTTGATATTAGTTTAAAAAGAACTTCAAAAGTCTGGTTTTTCACTGGTTTCTTCTAAGTTAATGGAAAATTCCAGGATTTTATCAATTGTTTCATCTGTTACCTGTGTGTTTGGTGTGTTTAAGGCTTTAAGAAGATTTGACCTGATTCCAATGTATAATTTCATGTCTTCTTCTTTTATTTTGGTGCTGATGGGGTGTATTAGATGCAGTATAAGATGAATATTACTCCAGTCATCCTGTAATAATAAAATAATTATTCTTGGGTAAATATTTTATCAAATTTGTTACCTTATCAATTAAAAAATGTACAATATGAAACACAGACAGAAGATAGTTCTTCAAATCACTGTTTTGATGTCTTCAGTAAACTCCAAGCAATTTATGAATTTTACCAGGGATGTTGAAGAAAACTCCTTTTTCAAGTATTGCACACAGACAACAAGGCATTTTAGTGAGTGTTCCTGGATTGGGTATAGTCCTTTTTCATTCACAAATTTGCAACATTCTTCATAGCATCCTTCTTTGAGTAGTTTAATTATAGTTGTATAATCTGGTCGACTTAATTTGCGCACCATGATGTCTAAAACAAGTCTAATGTAGATTAGTTAACTGAATACATAATTTTAGGTTAGAAATACAAACGAAATTCTTCTGAATTAAAACTACAGGCTAATTATACCTCAAATCTCTACCTTATTTTAACACTTTTTCTATGTGCACGTTAAATGTTTTATACATTCCGTTATTACCTCTGTTAATAACAATTCATTTAAATAAGTGACTCGCAATCCACAATGGCCGTTATTATTTGAAGTAAAAAACTGACAGAATGACATCGGAACTGTTCGAGCATGTTCGGCTTATCAGGGTAAAGCAAAGTTTATGTGAAATACAGACTGCGCATGCGCAAGCGTCAATTTTTGAACTTGTATACAATGTAAATGTATATACGCCCAATTTCTAACGTTATTTACTATACACCGGTCGGAACGAATGAAATTATAAACAAAAAGAAAAGCGAATAAAATTATTGCAAATAATGTTCTGAGTACCACCGTAGTTTTGCATTGTTGCATTAATTTAACACCAGTTTATGCGCACACGAGACCTGCTCATCCGCCTTTTTGCCTTAATATATAACTTAGCAATAAAATATATGTTTGGAAAAGATGTGAATGTTGTACTGTACTGTATGAAACGATTTCAATGACAAAATGGCGTCCACCACAAGAAGGTAATCACAGACGTTGTTTATCGGTCATTGCTTCTTCATTTTTAATCGTTTATAAATATATTTACAAAATCCTATATGTACAACAGCTCATTGCCTCAATATATATTTTGTAAGTCGTCCATTCACAAAATTCGCAGCTTCCTTCCACTCTCTC